GTTAAGTAGGTTATCTATAGGATAAGTTTCATTTCATCCTAGTTAAGTGAGATATTTATAGGATTAGTGACATTTCATCCTAGTTAAGTAGGTTATCTATAGGATAAGTTTCATTTCATCCTAGTTAAGTAAGATATTTATAGGATTGGTTACATTTCATCCTAGTTAAGTAGGTTATCTTATAAGTTTCATTTCATCCTAGTTAAGTAGGTTATCTATAGGATTAGTTACATTTCATCCTAGTTAAGTAGGTTATCTATAGGATAAGTTTCATTTCATCCTAGTTAAGTGAGATATTTATAGGATTAGTGACATTTCATCCTAGTTAAGTAAGATATTTATAGCATTAGTTACATTTCATCCTAGTAGGTTATTTATTGAAGTAGTTAGGGTACATCCAGGCTCAGTAGGATATTATTGTAGTAGTTCTAGTATATCTTGACTGAGTACGATATTTATCAAAGTAGTTACTGTAAATCCCACTAAAAGTATTTATATGAGTATTTACGGTGTGTCCCTGTAATGTGACTATCTGATCTCCTGTCTGTAGTTGTTTGCTACACAGTGATGGGATCATGTATCTACCCAGACTAGCCATAACCTGTGTCTGTTACTGAAGAATGGCTTCCCCTGGTGCCCTATAGATATCTCAGACTTGTCTACACACACATTTAGTGAGTCATTATTTTAGGTAGCATAGGTTCAATGGTTCAATTAATTTGACCATTGTGTCACCATTTAAGACTTCAAGAACAAAAGTAGATTTTTTCATGTCAAGATTTTTTTTAACTTCAGTGACTGATACTATAATCTAAAAAGTACTTAAAAGTCACAGAGGCTATTTGGGTAAAAGTTGTATTGGGTCACTGAGAGATCATAGGGTTGGATATAGAGGTAATGAAAAGCTGTAAGGGCAATAAAGGATCATAGTGGCAAAGGTCAAACATGAATAGACAATTAGAGGTCATACAGATGAAGGTCATGTAGGGCAAAAGAGGTCATAAGGGTAAAAGTGACAAAGGGGCTGTGAGAGGTCACACAGATGAAGGTCATATAGAGGTAATGAAAAGTCATAAGGTCATATGTGGATATACAAGGACATTGAGAAGTCAAGGATGAGGATCATTTAGGAGCAATGGAATTGTATAGAAGCTGAAATCTTGCAACACCATGGTCATTGTGTCTACATGTTTACAGAAAGCCTTGAGAAAGAATTCATTGTCAATATGTTCAAGGTGTATTAGATTTTCAGGTCACCTGAGATTAAGTCTCAAGTGACCTATAGTGATCACATTTTGTCTGTCATCATCTGTCACAAACTATTTGCCTTTTTTTTCTGATTGGACAAAAAAAAACAGGGTGCTGATATTGGACTCGTAGCATGCTGGAATGAATGATCTTGAACACTTTCAAGGTCACAGGAAGTCAAATGATTAAAAATCTTTAAAGGACTTTTTCTCAGTAACCAAAAAACGCAAGGTTTCGATATTGGGTCTGTAGCATGCTGGAACGAATGTCTATCAAGTTTATTCAAATGGAATGACCTTGACTCACTATCAAGGTCATGGTATTAATAATATGTCTGATTTGATTCTTATTTGCAGAGTTATGGCCCTTTGCTTTTTAATAACCCTACATGGACTACAATAATTTGAGTAAATATGACCAGATTTTGATGAAATTTGGTGTGCTGCCTTATATAGAGATGAGTTCAGATGAGGATCACACTGACGATGGGGCACCTTCAGTTGTGTCTGACAGAGTTATGGCCCTTTACAGTTTTCTTACCTTTGGACATTGTTAACACAAGAATTGAGTAAATTTGAAAAAATATTAATAAAAACATTACTGTAACCATATAATGATGAGTTTAATGATATGTTCGGCTAAGTTTAGTCAAGTGACTGTTTAGGCCCATGGGCCTCCTTTTGATATAATTAATGTATGAAAAATTCCGTGGTTAATAATATTGATAAAGAAAGTCCATCACTAAAATTTCTTTATATTTGTCTACTCCAATCATATCAGCTGGCCGGACATTTTCATGTTTCACCAATGACAACCCGAGCAACAAATGCAAATGGAATAGGTTTAGTGGGGCTTTAACTGTTAAATGTCTTTTGTTAACCTGAATTCTTTACATTGAATTTCTTTGTGGAAATAACTTCAACATTCGAAAAATGTAATTATTGTATTTCAAAGATGGTTGAAATTTTCACTGCATTTTGCATAAAAATCATGAAAAGATAGGATTTCAATATCAATCTTAATTTTAATGTATTTTCTCATTCTGTTCCATCTTTACAAATATTGTTGTATGTCATGTTTATTTGAAACAACTAAAGGAGGAAACACCCATCCCTAAACACAATATATCATCTCCTACAACACAACGTCAATATGAAGTCAGGAAATTGAAGAGACACCAACACAGATTCAAACTTTTGATAGCGTCTTCAAAATTTGTGGGAAAAAACCAAGTTGCATGAAATGTAGCTGACTATCCTTAAAGGTTTCTAGACGTATGGAAGTATGCAGGTCTTATGTACTTAACTTTAGCTCTGAGGTTATGAGTCAGGTTTGAAGTCGTGCATTGTATGTTATGTCAAAGTCTACCAACTGTATCCAGAATTAAGTCTATGACTTGTAAAATGGCACCCAAAAAAATGCTATTTCATTGTCCTGCATTAAACCAACCACACAAGTTTTAAAAAAGTAATCTGTTGGCCTCCTGGGCTTAGATAATTCAGGATGCAATACTAGCTTTTGATATATAGGGTATTTCACTGGGACACAAGGTATTGATAGGTACATATGTTATTTTCATAGATAGTCACGGTGTTCTACAGGTGAAAACCACATTTAACAAGTACACATGGTTTTCTACAGGAGAAAAGCATATTTAACAAGTGCACATGGTTTTCTACAGGTGAAAAGCATATTTAACAAGTATACATGGTTTTCTACAGGTGAAAAGCATATTTAACAAATACGCATGGTTTTCTACAGGTGAAAAGCATATTTAACATGTACACATGGTTTTTCTACAGGTGAAAAGCATATTTAACAAGTGCACATGGTTTTCTACAGGTGAAAAGCATATTTAACAAGTACACATGGTTTTCTACAGGAGAAAAGCATATTTAACAAGTACACATGGTTTTCTACAGGTGAAAAGCATATTTAACAAGTACACGTGGCTTTCTACAGGTGAAAAGCATATTTAACAAGTACACGTGGCTTTCTACAGGTGAAAAGCATATTTAACAAGTACACGTGATTTTCTACAGGTGAAAAGCATATTTAACAAGTACACATGGTTTTCTACAGGTGAAAAGCCTATTTAACAAGTACACGTGGTTTTCTACAGGTGAAAAGCATATTTAACAAGTACACGTGGTTTTCTACAGGTGAAAAGCATATTTAACAAGTACACATGATTTTCTTCAAGTATGCAAAATATTTCACTAGTAAATAGGGTTTCCAACTGGTGTACTGGATATCTTATGAGTTCACAAGATTTTCTACAGATATACCAGATCATGAATACACAGAATATTTGTAACCTTCATAACAGGAACATTCAACACAGACTGTGTTGGATTTTAAAATTTTTTTGTATGATGTTTTAGATAGAATTTTACAGGTGAGAGAACATTTAAAATCACCATTTGATGGCTGAAAATCAAAGAGATAGTAAGTGTTAGAGTTGGTATTAGATTGTGTCTTAATTTTGCCTGGCAGCAATCAAAGTGAAAGAGCCTATTTGATAGATAAACAGTTTTCATAGCAGGAGATGTGTTACACAGCTGCCAATAGTCAACACATGCTGTTTAGTTAATTGGCATCATATGTTGTCCAGCTGAAGAACTTGACCAGCCAGATATAAATAGCTGGGTGTATACTTACTGATGAAGTAGGACAACAATTAGGTCAGCTATCAATTTTCATGGACAAAAAATAAGCAATACTCATTATACAAATTGGTCTCACATTTCTGTTTTTTTTTCAAGATCAAACTCGAAGTTACAGGATTTTTTTACAAGATCAGAAGAAAAGAAAGAGAAAACAAACAGCCTCTGTCTTGTAACACCTGTCTTATCTCACAACCTCTATAATGTAACACCTGTCTTATCTCACAACCTCTATAATGTAACACCTGTCTTATCTCACAACCTCTATAATGTAACACCTGTCTTATCTCACAACCTCTATAATGTAACACCTGTCTTATCTCACAACCTCTATAATGTAACACCTGTCTTATCTCACAACCTCTATAATGTAACACCTGTCTTATCTCACAACCTCTATAATGTAACACCTGTCTTATCTCACAACCTCTATAATGTAACACCTGTCTTATCTCACAACCTCTATAATGTAACACCTGTTCTGTCTGACACCCTCTTTAATGTAACACCTATTTTGTCTGACACCCTCTTTAATGTAACACCTGTTTTGTCTGACAACCTCTGTAATATAGTACCTGTTTTATCTGACAACATCTGTAATGTAACATCTGCTCCATCTGTAAGTCTGTTTAATATAATACCTGTTTTATCTGACAACCTCTGCAATATAAACCTTGCTTTATCCTCTGTATTATAACTCCAGTTTTATCTGTCAGTCTCTGTAATGTAACACCTAATTAATCTGACACCTTCTGTAATGAAAACCTGTTTTATCTGACACCCTCTGTAATATAAAACCTGCCTTATCTGACATTCTCTGTTATGTAAAATCTGCTTCATCAGTCAGTCTGTGCATTTTAACACCTGTTTTAACTGACAACCTCTTTCATATAACACCTGTTTTATCTGACCCCCTCTGTAATATTAAGACCTGCCTTGTCTGACAACATTATAACATCTGTTTACTTTAGCAGTTGTTGTACAGATGAGCTATATAAATGCACAATGCATCAACATTTCGTAATTTTTGTTACTTTCACATCTTTGATCAATTTCAATGAAAAAACATGAATGGAAATATCTTACCTGGGACTCTGTTGTTTGATTGAAAAAATACTTGGAATTTAAATCCCAGCAACTTTGCCAAACTGAGCAACACTGTAGCATATAGGAAATGCTATTCCATAGGATTCTGCACACTAGATACGGACCACAGAGCACAGCCAGTAACACAAACTTTTTTTTTTGCCACGTGTATCGGAGAAATCCACAGGTAAAAAAAAAAGGTATATCCTTACACAGGTATCTGATATGGATGTTCCTTCAGAACTCTTACACATTCAGGTGTTAATAAAGCCAGTACAAAGTCTAAGTGTTGTAACAGTTGTGGAAAAATTGAAAGAAATGAAAGTATGAAAAAATACAGATTACAGATTAAAGCAAGCTAGAGATTAGAAAAGCATGAACATGGTGTGGAAGTGCTGTCAGTACACAGTGGTTGTCTGTTTAATTTCTAGTGTGTGAGGAACACTGTTTGTACAGTCTGTTGGCCAAGTGATACAGTGGCTGAGACTCGCACAGCTAGAGGCTCCCCACAGGGGAATTCCTTTTACCCTAGGATCAATATTTTTTGAAGCCCTGAAGAAACTTGAATTCATATGACTATATTAAAATTCATTTCATTGTACCCTGTATGGCTAAGTGTAATCTTTAAATGGACATAATGAAGAGAATTTTCAACTTACTATTTCATGATAAATGGCATATTTTGTTTTGAATGTTTCTGGGCCTTCCCCCTTGTGATCTCTGTTCCTCTGCTCTTGTCATTTCAACTATGTTGGCAACTGTTTGTTTATGATAGGATTTTGATACACAAGAGTGTATACATGTAGGTAAATAAAACTGCGACCTGCTCCAAATAATTCATTTTGTTGTCTTTATTTAAACAAACAAACAAATAGGTAAGGAATTGTACTACGTTGATTGGTGTGAGAGTCTGAAAGATATTTCCCTCATCCTTCCCCAACATTGGGAATAGTTCTACTTAGTGCACATGTACTGATCAGAACTAGTGACATTATTTTACACCCTGCAAGCATGTGGTCATGACCTTTCTGCACCATTTCCATTACTTCCCATTTTATAGGGCTTCTTTTTGTACCTTCTATGATAACACTCACTTTGAAGGGGTTGTCCAGGTCACAAGTTATCCCAGGACATTCTCTAGCCTCTCTTTGGTCATCATTATCCCAGACTGACCTCCAGCCTCTCTTTTATTTACTAGATATGTCAAAAATAATCACATTTATGTCATGAATACTTTACTCCAATTTAATGGCAAAGCACTTGCTAACTTTATGAGAGAAATACTTATTTTTTAACCTTTTATTACTTTCATTGATATCGTGGGCTAGTACAGAATTTTGTACTTCTTCAAAAGACAATGGTAAAGTATATTTTATCCCATAATGTAACTCATAGGGCTATGAGAAATTGAACTTTATACTCTTTTTAAAGATGTAACAGTTGAAGAAATAATATAATCCTTAATGTGATTTGTTGGGCAATGAGAAACAGAATCTTACACTCTTTTTAATGATGTAACGGTAGAAGAGAGGATATTATCCATTCCTAAATGTGATTTTTTGTGCTCAAAGAAACAGAACTTTATGCTCTGTTTGTTGATGTGATGATAAAGGGAAAGTAAACTCCACCCTTATGCATGATTTGTAGGCCAAGGAGAAACAGAATCTTAAACTCTTTCTAATGATATAACAGTAGAAGGGAAAGTATAATTCTTTATATTTGTTTTTCGTTCAATGTAAAATCATTGTTTTCAAATCTATTTCCCTCTGTATTCAGTGTCATAATGACCTTCAGAGGAACTTCATATTTTGAAATGATCGCCAAGTCATTGTGGATTGATATAGATAGAAATGTAAAACTCTAGGGTTAAAGTTGTTTATTTCTATGTCCTACAATGGCAACATTTTACCACAACAAAACACAATAGGTCTAATCTAACTTTCTGTTCTCTCTAGATAATATAATTTGTTCCAATATTATTAGAAAAGTGAAATACGGGTGGTATCTTGAATTTGGGAAAGTAAATTTTCCAAAAAAATTTTTCTGCCTCTAAGATTTTTTATATGATTTTTTTTCATAAAATCATAATAGATGTAAAATGTCATGGGCCAAAATAATTGAAATGGGGAGTGAGGTGATGGGGAAAATGACAAAAGAAATCACTTTACTCTGTGGAAATATGTTAAAAGTGTAGAGGAAAAGAAGTAATGGACACTGATATGTTAAACTAAAGTAAGTAGTAGAGAGAGATCATATTGATGGGTATTGTATGTTGGGTATATGTCCTGTGGGTTCTATAATTACATACAGTCTCTAGCAGCAGTTTTATACTCAGGAATGATACATCTAACTCGCAGCCAATTTTCTGCTTAGTCAACTGTAAACATTAAGGCTGGGGTTAACCTCAGCTGAACTCCACAGTAGTTAGCTAAAGGTGGTAGATATTCATATTCTTGTTGGCATACCATGTTGAATATATTCATTTATCTGACAAATTATGTCTTCTTTTTTTCTAATTCTATGGGAGACACTGTGTTGATGTAGTTTGCAGTGCAAACATTGATGTCTAAGGGAGAGTGTGTTGATGTAGTTTGCAGTGCTAACATTGGTGTCTATGGGAGAGTGTGTGTTGATGTAGTTTGCAGTGCTAACATTTATGTCTATGGGAGAGTGTGTGTTGATGTAGTTTGCAGTGCTAACATTGGTGTCTATGGGAGAGTGTGTGTTGATGTAGTTTGCAGTGCTAACATTTATGTCTACGGGAGAGTGTGTTGATGTAGTTTGCAGTGCTAACATTGGTGTCTATGGGAGAGTGTGTGTTGATGTAGTTTGCAGTGCTAACATTTTATCTATGGGAGAGTGTTTGTTGATGTAGCTTGCAGTGCTAACATTTTATCTATGGGAGAGTGTGTGTTGATTAGGTTTGCAGTGCTAACATTTATGTCTATGGGAGAGTGTTTGTTGAGTAGTTTGCAATGCTTACATCTATGTCTATGGGGAGTGTGTATGATGTAGTTTGCAGTGCTAACATTTTATCTATGGGAGAGTGTGTGTATGATGTAGTTTGCAGTGCTAACATTGGCGTCTATTGGAGAGTGTGTGATGTAGTTTGCAGTGTTAACATTGGTGTCTATGGGAGAGTGTGTGTGTATGTAGCATGTGGTGTAAAATTGGATTCTATGGGAGAGTGTGTTGATTAGGTATGCAGTGCAAATATTTATGTCTATGGGAGAGTGTGTGTTGATGTAGTTTGCAGTGCTAACATTTATGTCTATGGGAGAGTGTGTGTTGATGTAGGATGAAGTGCAAATGTTGATGTCTATGGGAGAGTGTGTGTTGATGTAGTTCGAAGTGCAAACATTGGTGTCTATGGGAGAGTGTGTGTTGATGTAGGATGAAGTGCAAACATTGATGTCTATGGGAGAGTGTGTGTTGATGTAGTTTGAAGTGCTAACATTGGTGTCTATGGGAGAGTTTGTGTTGATGTAGATTGCAGTGTTAACATTGGTGTCTATGGGAGAGTGTGTGTATATGTAACATGTGGTGTAAAATTGGATTCTATGGGAGAGTGTGTGTTGATTAGGTATGCAGTGCAAACATTTATGTCTATGGGAGAGTGTGTGTTGATGTAGTTTGCAGTGCTAACATTGGTGTCTATGGGAGAGTGTGTGTTGATTAGGTTTGCAGTGCTAACATTGGTGTCTATGGGAGAGTGTGTGTTGATGTAGTTTGCAGTGCTATCATTGATGTCTATGGGAGAGTGTTTGTTGAGTAGTTTGAAGTGCAAACATTGATGTCTATGGGAGAGTGTGTGTTGATGCAGTTTGCAGTGCTAACATTGGTGTCTATGGGAGAGTGTGTTGATGTAACATGTGGTGTAAAATTGGATTCTATGAGTGAGTGTGTGTTTATAAAAATGTTTGATATAAACATTAAACTGTTGATTAGTTGTACAAACAGGTGAGACAGAGAGTAGAAAATGCATCTGTAAGGATCTTGACCTCCATTTTCAATCAATAATATATGAAACATCAATAATATTAATGCGAAAAATAAAACGTTTGAGAGCTACATCAACAAAAGCAGGTTAATTGAGAATAGAGAAGTTGGATTGATTAAATCTTGGCTGTTGTTTGTAATTGATTTTGTGATGAGCATGACAGAGATTTTGCTCATAATTAGCAATCCCATTAACAGTTGTTAAAAACACTTCAAATAGTTGCCTTAAAGAGATTACCATTCTCACCGGAAATCTAAATGTTGACAAATCTGACTTTTCTTGTTTTCAAGTAAAAATAATTTGTAGTTCAAGATCAGCTATTTGAAATTATTCAAACAAGTAAATTTTCTTGTCAATTTGATGTGGTGCACATATGACTTTTAATAATTATATGGCTGGTAATTTTCATTAGTCAAAATTTTCCCAATTTTCTTTAAAAACTGTTGATTAATTTCTATGAATAAAAGTTTTGCGATCTAGATGTAAAAAGACATCTAACAAACACGTCATTTCAGGGATTACATTTATGTGACCACATTAATGTATCATGAAAGAGCTTACTTATGAATGTTTGCTACTTAACTGTGTCAGGGTTTTACTTAAGGTTGTATGCTACATTTCTATGTCAGGGAGTTTTTACTTTTGAATGTATGTGACTTAACTGTGGGTATGTTTTACTTAAGGATGTATGCTACTTAACTGTGTCAGGGTTTTACTTAAGGATGTATGCTACTTAACTGCAGTCATGTTTTACTTAAGGATGTATGCTACTTAACTGTGTCAGGGTTTTACTTAAGGATGTATGCTACTTAACTGCAGTCATGTTTTACTTAAGGATGTATGCTACTTAACTGCAGTCATGTTTTACTTAAGGATGTATGCTACTTAACTGCAGTCATGTTTTACTTAAGGATGTATGCTACTTAACTGCAGTCATGTTTTACTTAAGGATGTATGCTACATAACTGTGTCAGGGTTTTACCTATGGATGAAAGCTACTTAACTGTGGGCAGTATTTAATTAAGGTTGTATGCTACATAACTATGTCAGAGTTTTACTTAAGGTTGTATGCTACATTTCTATGTCAGGGAGTTTTTACTTTTGAATGTATGTGACTTAACTGTGGGTATGTTTTACTTAAGGTTGTATGCTACATAACTGTGTCAGGGTTTTACTTATGGATGAATGCTACTTAACTGTGGGCATTATTTAATTAAGGTTGTATGCTACTTAACTGTGTCAGAGTTTTACTTAAGGTTGTATGCTACATAACTATGTTGTGGATTTACTTACGAATATATGCTACATAACTTCCTCAGGGGTTTACTTAAGGATGTTCACTATATACTGTATCTAGGTTTTCCTGAAGGATGTATGCTACATAACTGTGTT